TATATGTCTGGATCATATGAAAAAACAAAAACAAATAATAATGCAAAAAAAGGCAATAAAAATCAACACAAATAAATTCAGTACTTTAAATCCAGCCTACCATGATGCATACAATGTATTTTTATATTTTTAATGTATTTAATGCTTTATTATTTTATTAATGTTATGAATGATAAGGAAAATATTCTCAACTTTGCACAAAAGTAATGTCAAAATGCAAAATTTCAATTAAGGATTATTTTTTTGCTAAATATATTTTCGGTTGACTTTAGCACAAGTATTTTTTGTGAGCTTGACCTTAAAATATTATTAATATAATGAATTTGTCAAATGAAAAATATTTTTTTTAAACATGATTTAAATTGCCTGTGTGTGTGTAGCTGTGTGCCGTTACCCTTGTGGTCAGAATATGGAGTGCTCACAGCCCAACACTTGTACCTGTAAAGAGGGTTACACTGGATACAACTGCCACATCGGTCAGTTCATTTAGCTTGGCAGACATTTAAAGATTTGATTACTCATTTTAATTATGACTTGTTATTATGAATCATTTCAAAGTCACACCAGTTATGTCTTCTTCCATCAGCTGTGTGCCGACCGGACTGCAAGAACAAAGGAAAGTGTGTGAAGCCCAATGTGTGTGAATGTCCTGCAGGGTACAACGGCCCCACCTGTAATGAAGGTAAACTCTCTCTGCATAATGATTTTCTTTACAGCTTTACAAAATATGCATGTTTTGAGGGTTTCAGAGGATATTATATAAATGTACACATCTTGTCTCTCAGCCAGCTGTGATCCGCCTTGTCAACACGGTGGCCGCTGTTTGTCCAGAAATTACTGCACTTGCCCTTACGGCTATGTGGGACCAAGATGTGAAACTAGTGAGCAGACACTTCCAGATTTCTAAATACAAAGAATTTTGTTCATAATGATTGTGTGTCATTGCCTTTGTGCTTTCTTAGTGGTGTGTAACAGACATTGTGAAAATGGCGGCGAGTGTGTGTCGCCTGATGTCTGTAAGTGTAAGCAAGGCTGGTATGGACCAACGTGTAACTCAGGTGCACTAATTCATTCTTAAATTTGATCAGAAATGTCTCTAAAAAAAAAAAAAGACCCCCAAAAATTTAACTTGTCTTCATTTTAAATCATGTTTATTAAAGTCATGAAAATTCTGTCTTCATTTACTCACCCTTATGATGTTCCAAACCTGTATGACTTTCTTTCTTCGGTGTAACATAAGGGAAAATATTTTGAAGAATGTTGGTAACCAAACAGTTTCAGTTTCCATTGACTTCCGCTGTATGGACAAGGAATGCAATGGAAGTCAATGGGAACTGAAACTATATGGTTACCAACATTCTTCAAAATATCTTTTTATGTTCCACCGAAGAAAAAGCAAGTCATACAGGTTTGGAACATCATAAGAGTAAATGAAGACCGAATTTTAATTTTTGTGTAGACTATCCATTTACTAAATGTGATTAGAATCAATTCCTTGGTTGTTTTCATTCTCAGCCGACTGTAAGCCTTTGTGCTTAAATGGAGGGACTTGTATCAAACCAAACATCTGTGCTTGTCCTAGTGGCTTCTATGGTTCACAGTGTCAGATAGGTACAACCTATTTGTATTTCATGTAAATAATGCTGTACAATTAATGAATGGCCTTAATTATGTGATTATTATTTATTTGTGTGTCATTTTGTTCGTAGCTCTGTGTAGTCCACCATGTAAAAACAGAGGCCAGTGCATGAGAAACAACGTGTGCTCCTGTCCTGAAGGATACACTGGGAAGAGATGCCAGAAAAGTGAGTGTCACTTGTCACTGAAGTCATTTTCTAAAGAATCGAATTTGCTTCTTTTCTGTTGTTGTGATTTGTTTCTACATCCAGCATGCGTTCTATCATATAATCTGTTTGGACATGTTTATGCAATGCTTTCAGGTGTGTGTGACCCCATGTGCATGAACAACGGAAAGTGTGTCGGTCCAAACACCTGTTCCTGTCCATCTGGGTGGAGAGGAGAGATCTGCAACATCCGTAAGATCACCAAGGCTGCATTTATTTGATCAAAAATACAGTAAAAATAGTAATATTGAAATAATGTTTTTTAATCTACTACTACCAGTGTTCAAAAGTTGACCTTAAACATTTAAACTGTAGTATATGTTCTTTATGTACACATTTTATCGTTTACTAAAGCCCTGTCTTTGCAACATAACCTGCAGTGTTTTCTGTATGTGTGTATTCAGCGGCATGTTTACAGAAATGTAAGAATGGTGGAGAGTGTGTGGGGCTGAACACATGTCACTGTCCAGCTGGATGGGAGAGTCTGCAGTGCCAAACTCGTAAGTCCTGATCAGTTCCTAATGATTTCTCACGTCTTGTCAGTGTATTGAGGTCACATCGATCATATTTTTACTGTTAAGGTATAGTTTGATCTTTGGCTTGAAGAATATTAGAATATTAGTTCATTTAATATCAATGTTTATTTTATTTTCCTAACAGCAGTCTGTAAACAAACGTGCCTCAATGGAGGGAGATGTGTGTTTCCAAATTTCTGTCACTGCCGTCAGGGTTACACTGGACCTTCCTGTGGTACTAAAGTAAGCATTTCTCAAAAAAAAACATTGACATTATTAATTTCCTCTTTAAAATGATCTTTGTACATACATTTATGGTCATAAAGATGAACTGATTGTAAACTTTGTATTTACAGACTAGGTGATGAAGATCTGAAATTGAAGACAACTCTTATCGCCCTGTAAAAAATGAATGGTGTGTGCGAGTGTGTGTGTATCTATGTAAGCATTAGTGCCCTAAAAGTGAAGGATACTTTTATTGGACTTCTATTAGAAAATAACAGACTTTTATTATACCTTAGATTACTACAGTATTTCAAGAGTGTTATCCTATATGTGAATGTGGGTATTTGTCTAAATCTCTTCCACAGCTCTGGCAATGATTATTTTCATTTTTTTATTTGATTCATTTTTTTTGTGTGTGTGATGTACTACAGTGTGCATATTTTATAATATTAATATGTTCCTGTTATATTATAAATTGCTTTTGAAGAATTAAAATAAAAAATTCAGTACATTTGAAGTCATAAAAATGGATCTTAATTTCATTTCCCAATAAAAAAAGAAGTGGTCAAAAACAAAAATGGGTCACAATCACATTTCTGCTTTTTAAAAATCAAGTTTACGCACGCACAGAATTTTCATTTGAACTTTATTTCAATTTTCAAGAAAATTCGACAGTTATCCTAAACACACTGCTTAATAGTCATAAATGTTAATGTAGAAAACACATCACACTCCTCACATGTTCAGTTAGGGTTCAACAAACAAACACGTAACTTTAGCACCAATTTAAGGGACTGTGGAGGTCAGAGGTCAGACTGTTCTGACATCAGTAGAGCTTCTTCCTCTCTTCACACTGCGGGCCTGAGAACGGAGCTCGACAACGACAGGTGTTAGGAGACACACACTTCCCCCCATTCAGACACGGCTTTTTACACACAGCTGCAGACGAAGAGATAAATGCTTTCATTTTTAAAACTGAGTAAACTGTAATGGATTTACACACCATTTAAATAAAGTGTTAATAGTAACTGCACAACAAAAATGTAATTCTAGACCATCTGAACAGTCTTGTTCATAAATCTGTGTGGTCACGCACCTGTGTGGCAGGCTCCACCTATCCATCCTTCTGGACAGCTGCAGATTCCAGGAGCCACACAGCTGCCCCCGTTCCTGCATCCTTGTGGACAGATCGCTACGGAAACAGAGACAAATGATCAACATGTGACCCAGATACCACACTAACATCTGTGTACATGTAAATGATTATTAATTCATGAAAAATAACTTTAAAACACATTCATATTGTTTTTTAAGTATATTGTATATATATATAAAAGTGCTTCTGGAATAGCCTTCCTGATAACGTTCGGGGTTCAGACACACTCTCTCTGTTTAAATCTAGATTAAAGACACGATTCCATTTCGATTTATCGTGCAGCCCTAGTTTATATTTAATATTTCTAATAAGCTTTCATTTATTTTTATTTTTGTTTTATTTTTAGCAATTTTAGTATTTCAGCTTAAACTTATTTTATATCAGTTACTTGCCAATGCGGCATTTTTAATTGTAGTTTAAGTTTATTAAGTTAATATTTTCCACCAAATATTAATATTTTATTTTATTTCCCCTTTTTTCAATAAACGAAAACAACACTTGCCTTGGCAATGGGCGGTACTAACGCAAAATCCGCAATCCCATTGACTAGCGCTCACATGTCACAGATTTAATTAGGGGAACGCGACAAGACGTGAGGGACAAAAAGTAGCCTAATGTTCAACGAATGTAAGTTAATGCAGATGAAAGCATTTTACATTTTGCTATATTAGTGAGTTTTTGAGCTCTTAAGTCTATTTAACAGAAACACTGACTGACCAATAATGTCAGAACCAAATATATGATAATTCTGTTTATTATGAAAATTAGTTAAAGTTGATTAGTTTATGACAATTATTAAAGTTATATATCATAAAAATGCTTTGATATCACTTATTCTTCAAATGTCATATTGTGGAGATTGTTCCCCTGTCTCAGTGCAACAGCTGACATTATGGATTTGTGAAATGTAAATAACACAATATGGGATCAACATACCGTCTTGGCATCTGGAGCCAGTCCAGCTGGAGGGACAGATGCATTTTGCTTCTCCATTCACAGCAATACACTCACCACCGTTCCAACAGCCACCATCACAAACCACTGATAAACACACACAGACAACACATCCACATAAGTTAAAAGCTGTGCTGCTAAATCTCTTATTTGTGACCTCGTTTATTAATGTTTTTAGTGTTCAACTTGTCAACAACTATTAAAAACAAAATGGAAATTAATTTACAGTTACCTTTGTGACAGTATTTTCCTCCAAATCCTGAAGGGCATCTGCATTTTCCAGGTCGAAGACACTCTCCACCGTTTTTACACTTTGGATAACAGTTTGCTGAAATCAACATGCAAATCATGTGAGTTTTGGCCAATTGAATATATAAAACACAAGTCTGACACACACACACACACACACACACACACACACACACAGCAAAATCCGCAATCCCATTGACTAGCGCTCACATGTCACAGATTTAATTAGGGGAACGCGACAAGACGTGAGGGACAAAAAGTAGCCTAATGTTCAACGAATGTAAGTTAATGCAGATGAAAGCATTTTACATTTTGCTATATTAGTGAGTTTTTGAGCTCTTAAGTCTATTTAACAGAAACACTGACTGACCAATAATGTCAGAACCAAATATATGATAATTCTGTTTATTATGAAAATTAGTCGCAATTATTAAAGTTATATATCATAAAAATGCTTTGATATCACTTATTCTTCAAATGTCATATTGTGGAGATTGTTCCCCTGTCTCAGTGCAACAGCTGACATTATGGATTTGTGAAATGTAAATAACACAATATGGGATCAACATACCGTCTTGGCATCTGGAGCCAGTCCAGCTGGAGGGACAGATGCATTTTGCTTCTCCATTCACAGCAATACACTCACCACCGTTCCAACAGCCACCATCACAAACCACTGATAAACACACACAGACAACACATCCACATAAGTTAAAAGCTGTGCTGCTAAATCTCTTATTTGTGACCTCGTTTATTAATGTTTTTAGTGTTCAACTTGTCAACAACTATTAAAAACAAAATGGAAATTAATTTACAGTTACCTTTGTGACAGTATTTTCCTCCAAATCCTGAAGGGCATCTGCATTTTCCAGGTCGAAGACACTCTCCACCGTTTTTACACTTTGGATAACAGTTTGCTGAAATCAACATGCAAATCATGTGAGTTTTGGCCAATTGAATATATAAAACACAAGTCTGACACACACACACACACACACACACACACACACACACACACACACATTCAACTCAAATCCACTGCAGAGCAAGTATCTTGAAACCTCACCATATTGGCAGGTTTCTCCCTCATATCCTCTTGAGCAGAAGCAGCTGTTGTTTCGGATGCAAATCCCGGCATGTTTGCAAGGTGGGTCGCACGTCGCTTTGGGGTCAAAGACAAAAGGAAGAGCCACTCCACGGGGCCCGTCGGACCCTCCCAGACAGATCCCAGCCAGAGCGGCCAGTGCCACCAGCAAGAGCTGCATGGACGTACAGCAAAGCACTGCCATTTTCATATCCACACTCTTACAAGGATCCAGAATGACTGAGAGTGCTGGTGAATGTATGTTTGGACAGCATACTGCACTGTGATCATCTACTGGACAGACATGGTACTGCAGGGAGCCACAGCTGGAAAAGTACTAACTGAGGAATGTGTGAGACAGGATTGAGAGACAGACAAGCTCAGAGTGTGTGTTTAGACGAGTGTGTGTGGTTGTCTGTGGTTTATGGCTGTCTTTTGTGAGAAACGTCCGAAACTTCATCAACAAGTGGTCCCAAAAGGTATTCTGACACCAATTTCATTATTTCAAAGAAATATGGTGTAATCATATTCTTCAACTGAAATAATTCACAAAACATGTTTTTTTAAATATAAAATTACAATTTTCAGCATTTGTTTTCATATGCCACATATCAATAATTATATCTAAAATATTTATCTAATTACATTACCGTTCAAATGTTTAAAGTCATTTTTTAATATCTTTGACAGACGTCTCTTATGCTTAGCAAGGCTGCATTTATTTGATCAATAATACAGGAAAAACAGAAAAATTGTGAAATATTATTACAATTTTAAATGACTTTAAAATTAAATAAATTTATCTAATTACATTACCGTTCAAATGTTTAAAGTCATTTTTTTTATATCTTTGAAAGACGTCTCTTATGCTTAGCAAGGCTGCATTTATTTGATCAATAATACAGGAAAAACAGAAAAATTGTGAAATATTATTACAATTTTAAATGACTTTAAAATTAAATAAATTTTATTTATTCATGTGATGGCAAAGCTGAATTTTTTTTCCAGGCTAAATAGAAAGCTCTAAAGAACAGCATTTATTTGAAATCAAAATCTTTTGTAAGACACTTTGTCACTTTTGATCAATTTATTGCATCCTTGTTGAATAAAATAAATTTATTTCTTTCAAAAAATTCTAGTGTTTATATAAAATAAGCAATTAAGTCACAGTGTGCCAAAATATTGGGGCAACTGTAGAAAAGAGAACAATAACAGTGAAAAGAAGAAAACATAACATTAAAATTGCTGTATAACATAATTTCTAGCAAATAGTGACTATCTGCAGATTTTATGAAGTCCAGCTGCATCTATGCCTATGTTAATGTTGTTTAAAAGAATTCTCCTCTCGTATATTTTATTCACTTTGCTGATCCCAGGAAATGGATTCTGCAGATGTCCTGAGAATTTCCCTCCTCCTCAATGAATTTCCAGCTCCAAGTTTTCAGACCACAGCAAACGTATTTCACTCTCTCAATTACATGTATGTATGAACTAAAATAGAATTTTGGTCAAATTTTGGATCCCTGGTTATTTGTTGTTTTTAGACATCATTGTTAAATGCTTTTGTTGGCAAGATTGACTCCATGTCAAACTTACAGACTGTTCTGTAAGGGACAGTGCATATTGTAACTCTATCTGTCTGAAATTGGTGGTCCATTCATGGTAAATCAAGGCATGTAGAAATATCACATGCTCTTTGTTTCAGAGGCCCATTAAAGTGGAACCAGAAGGAGCTGCTGTTCTGGAACATGAGAGGAAGCGAGTAGGAACTTTAATGACATCAACAGATGTGCAGAATCGTTTTTCCTTCAGAAGAAAATGTAAACACTGCACATACGCACAGCACATTGAGAACACAAATGCATGCAGGTACCATTTGTGCCTGAACATTTAAGCTTATTACAATGATACTTCTGAACTTTAAAGATACAATATTTACCCGCCTAAGATGGAAAAGGACCACAGCCATAACTGCTTCAGACTTTGGTGGACCGCCATAGGGGGATGCAATGCCCAATATTAGTGGTTAAATGTTTTTTTAACGTCTTTTTATTTATCACCCACCACAATTAAGTGGTTCCAAAAAATAAAAGCTTTTTTTTTTTTTACATTACTAACCTTTAGAAGACATTATTTCAACCCCAAATCTCGCGATTGTGTTTTACCTCACTCGATCTATTCCTGTATTGAAGTACCATATCTTGTTTGCGCCATCTTGTGGATTATTGCAGCAACCACACTTTTCTCTACAAAATTAACATTTGTTAATGGGTTTTGTTTTAGTTTAACAACAAAGCATAAGAGACTTGACTATATCACTAATAAAAAAGATGTTCTATTTCAGGCTAACCCACAAAGTAATCAGATTAAAATCAGATTAAATAGACAATGCTTTTTATTTATTCAGTCCTTACTAATATGACTCACCACAACATGAACACTACTGTAATATGATAGAAATAAAAAAATATATTTAATAAAATGTGATCTTGGCAGTGTGCCTAAATGCCAACAAAATGTTTTGAGAACAAAATATATATGGACAAAAATTCATCGAAGAAATTTAATTTATTGATAGATCATTTCCCTAAGATAACATTTAAATAAAACACAATTTAAACAGGTTTTGCTGTAAAGTGCCATTCCAACTAAACAAGACAAGCAAAAGGGATAAAAGTGAATGAGAAACATCTTAGTTATCATTGATATACATCAACACCAAAAAGAAGAAAAATTATGGTCGAATTTGACTAAAATGTGACAGAAGAAATGCTTTAAGAACAATTAACAGAAGTCCATTTTTATAATACAAAATTAATAACCTTCCTTGTTTTTCATTCCCTTTTTCTTAATTAATATGGTATTCCTGGTGAGGTAAATTTATATCTATTTTAATATATTTTATTATGACACCCGATTCATGTTCAACTTTGAATTGGCCTCAGAACGGCCCACTTCATTTTTTTTTTTTTTTTTTCAAAAATTATTTTAGACCTTCAATCTAAATTTCCCTTTGAACAGAAATTGTGGATTTATATATATATAATTTAATTTTTTTTAATTTTTTTTTTTTTATTGCAGTCGTATAGGTTGGAAAAATC